AATAAACATCTCATTGATATTTTCAGTAGTAAATGGTACCAATAACAGCACATTTGAGCAATGCAATTGTAGTGGATAACATGGTCAATTTTTCCGTGCAGTACTATACGGATTATACGCTCCTAACCGGTTAAGAGTTTGACCGAGAGTTGTCTCCTTCCTTTTCTGGCCTAGTGCTGTTCTTTTTTACTTTGCGCCGGTCAAACTGAAGGTCACATCGCTACAGAAAGTAAACGAAGTATACCTACTAATGCTAATAATTAGCATCATTGTTTTAATGTGCTCACTTTTATGTAGGTAACACTTGTTACAAGAAGAATTAACGAAAGTATTGGGAAACATGTAGATATTAAAAACGTGGAAACATTTGGCTTCTAGCCCGTCCTGGATCTTTTTGAGCCTGTCTGGATTACACAGTTTCGTCCCAGTATATTGTATAGATATCCTAGGAAATGTGTATAATATAATTTATTTCACACATTTCCGGGCGATTTTAGGAATTATATACATTTCCTAGGAATTGTATTCAATGACGGATTTTAAACTACTCTTTTCAGGTTATAAACGACAATTCAAAATGTAACTACTGTCATTGCGTTACACTCTGCGTAAACTGCGTTGTTCTTTCTTAGGTTCCCACGTGTGAAAAAAGGAGGTACAGGTACAACCAAAAATCTTGAGATGCGTATTGGCAAAATATATTTACATAATTTATTTGTTTTGCTTCCTGCAAATTCCGCAATTATTTCAGTTACACCCTGTATAACAATATGGAATGAAGACCCGTGTTTATGTAGGCAAATCATCAGCACTGAAATACTTAACGCCTAACCTAATCAAAGAACTTGTCTTTTCAGTACTAAATTATGAATGCAGAGTGTAGTGATTTTAATTTGTGCTTCAAAATACCCTTTTAACTACTATGTTTGTTTAAGAAAATTTTATGTTGACTTTTGAATTTTACTCCATTAAATTCAGTAGGAGCGACGTTTTTCGCGCTATATTGAATAGGTTGACTGACTAAGGGTCGTATTTTTGAAATGAAAATATTAAATATTCAGACTCTCTTTTGTACTGATTTTCAATTATAATTAAACGTTAATTTCTTAGCGTTGCCATCTAATGTAATAATGATGAATACATAATGCCCGGCTAAATGAGCCAACAGAATGGAAAGCATCGTTCTAACTGTATTGTGAAAATTTAGTAGGTAATTTGGTTTTAGTAAATTTTGATTTTGTTGATTGTACAATTAGGCATATTTTCTACACTATTGTGAATACTTATTTAGTTGTTACCTATTAAAACGATAATGTTTGCGTAGCACAAAACATTACAAAATTTCACAATTATAGTTACTATATTTAACCCTCTATTGTCTTTAGGTTATTAAAAGTAAATAACACCAATATGTGAAAATATGAAATATACAAACTGTAATAGTGTAATAGTGGATAAAATGGCATAACATTTCTAATACCTCTTCATATCTAACCTTCTCTATCCACGGTATCCTCATCATTTTCTTGTAACACCACATTTCGAACGTTTTTTTTCCGCAGCGCCCACCGTCCATGTTTCACACCTGTACAGTGTCGCGCTCAAACATACACCTTTAAAAATCTTTTTTGAATAAATTGGAACTTGGAAACCTTGTAATTAAAATGTTAATTAGTGGGTTTCAAGGCAAAACTACTTTTTACGACCTTCTCAATTCAGAATAACAAACGTTACCCATCCTATGATACTAAGTATCTAAGTTCAATTTTCGGTCACAATAGTAATTCGTCACCCATTTTTCCGATAAAAATGAAACCGGCAAGTCCCTTTGTCTGCCTTGAAAAATGTTCTTATTTAAGGTTAGATTTCACCATTTTGTTAGCATGTTAATCAAAAGAGGAAAAACATTTTCTGTCTTGACTCTGAGCAATTGACTGAAATATTGCAAATCTGTAAAACACTAATGAGCGGTTGTTAATTCATTTATATTGTTTTTATTGCATCCGTACTTTGACCGGAAAGAACGGAACAGACGGGACGGACGAGTGTGCTACAACCTTTAAAGGCATCTGGTTGCGAGTTTGTCATTATTTCTTAACATGAATTTAAAAGTTTCAATGCTTCTTAATGGTACACGGAAGTTTACTCTTGGTAATTTTTTCGCCCAGGGAAATTATTATCAAAAAGTTGGCGATGGCAAATAATATTCAACGTTCGCCCGTAAGTTTGTAAAATACTGATAGATCGTGGGTCCTCTGTTTTATTTTATTCTCAGTTTTACGAAGTTGTTTAGCGTGGGCAACTTGAAAAGGAGTTGGATAATGAGGTTATTGCCCTGTTATTCCCTAAATAAAACGTTTCAATATTCTTTGCTTCACCTTCTTTTCGTGTATTCATACCATAAATACAAAAGTTATATTAGCAATAGAGTGAGGTTATATTTGCTGTGCATTTGTGTTTAGGGTTCCTTACCACAAAAAGGAAAAACCGAACCCTTACAAGATCAATCTCTGCGTCTATTAAAAGTCATGATTTCAGAAACTCTGTGAAATAGAAATTTGAAATTGAGTATTTAGCATAGTTATCAAATAACTCTAAGTGGTCTGTATTCTGTGGAAACTGCTAGACGCGGATCGCGATTTCGATCTTTTTGGATCTCATCAGCGCGTCGCAGACAGCTCCCACAGAACACAGACCAACTTTTACCTAGTAGGTTTGTCGGAGCTGTCTGCAACGCGCTGATGAGATCCAAAAAGATCGAAATCGCGTTCCGCGTCTGGCAGTTTCGACAGAATACAGACCACTTCGAATTATTTTATTCGATTATGGTAACGTGCCTATCACGTTGAGGTTAAACGCCGGGATTCGTTTCAGCGAGTAGATATCCATATATTTAAATGGACCTTGTTGGAGCATACATAATCCTAAAATGTAGCATTGTACTACAGATGGCGTTTACCGCGCTATTTGTGGTATTTTCTAGCACAGTTATAGTAGATACTTTAAAGTATTCATAGAGGAATTGAAAAGGGAGGAAGTTAAGAACTCAAGTAACATGTTTATCAACTAAAATTCGTTAATTAATTTTTTATTTTATGGCGATAAACTTCTTTCATTTTGTTTGGGGCGTGCTGGATTTTAAAGTTCATAGAAGTTCATTGCAGTTCGTTATTTTAAGGAGAGATACGATAAAAAATCAGTTTTCGTGGTAGAAATACAACTTATATTTTTTGATTAAATGTGCTTTATTATAATTTTTAGAAGATCATTTCTACCTTGAATAAAATAAAGTTTATATCGTATTTTACTATTATAAATATTTACGATCATTTTACTAAATGTTTAATAGCAAAAAATACATTGTCTTTATAGTTAGTACATGACACTGTATACTTGAACAGTTCACATTCTATGTATAGGAATAATTATAAACTATAATCAAGTAGCATATACAAGAATGGCTCAAAAATTTAATTATCGATTGAAAATATTATAAGTGTAACAGTAATAAGTAATAAGTTATCTAATCTTATAAATATAAGAGACTATACATAAAAAGCATAAATACATAAGTTTCATAAATTAAAT